ACACAGCTACACCTTCACATAAGGAGGTGAAGTATAATACAGAATGGAGACTGAACAGAGTTTCATGTGCTGATGTTCGTATGTGGACGTAGCAGCTTTAGTTTTTACCTTTAACGTTTTGGCTTCCAGTTTGTGTCCAGCAAACATGGACTTCTCATCGAAGTGCATGGGGAAGGCTCTAGAAGACACACAGGTCCAGAAACAGTGATGATGATAATAATACTCTACATAAGTAAAATAGTATTTATGGCTGCTGTAGAAAGGGCCTGCCTTTGTCTCAATGTGACAGCTTCTCATCTGCTGATGATCGATTTTTCCCCACAAACCTATTACGTAGCAAAAATGAACTGAACTTATTTAAATGCAAATTCGTCTCAGTTTCCGTCTTAGATCAAGTTATTAAAAGGGAGTGTTTCCTTCCCACTGTCACCCAGTGCTTGCTCATGGGGGTCGTGTGACTGTTGGGTTTTCTTTGTATTACTGTGGGGTCTTTACCTAAGAATAGCTTTGAAGTGACTAATGTGCTTTGGTGCCATGTACATATAATATAACATAATGCTGGCGTGCAGCATCACACAGCATGGACCATGTGGCAGGCAACAACATGGACACCACAGTCAGCGATCAGCGTGATCTTTGGGCTGTGTGGATCATTTAACCTGCTCGTTACCAACATTGTGTTAGCTACAGGCTCGGTCGGAACAGCTTTCGGAACAGCACAATCCTCTACAGGACTGCAGCACATCCATGGCAGCCATGGAGGGAGGAAGCTATCAGCTTAGCTGGGTGCCGACTCCAGGCGTTTGGGTCTATACTGAGTCGCAGAAGCTGCTTTACCCCACAACATTTTCTTTAAGGGGTCAAATAAGAAAATAAAACACTGATGTAGTAGCTCCCACTAACTCCTGATGGGAGTCTGTAGGAAACAAAACAACCCCACTAAGATATCCATGGGTTTCAGCTCGTGCTGGTCTTGGACTCTCCTGACAAGAATCAAGCTCCTCCTTCTTACTTGATCTCGTTGAAGATGTGCAGCAGCAGGTCTTTGGTCTCTCCGTCCTCCTGAGCATTTCCCGTGTATAGGTTGACGATGGCTCGTTCAAAGTACGGAGCCACCTTGTAGAGCGCCCGCAGCTCGATCAGGTACAGGAAGTAGAGGTTTTTCAGGCGTCGCGTGCCCTCCCCCTTTGTCTCTGCCATGTCAAAACGCTGACGAAACTCCTGGACGTTTGGACCCCACACTGAGCGTCCCCATCCCTCTGAAGAGCCAAACAACAACAGCTTACAGCATGAAAAACACCATCACTGAGTCAGTTCATCAGCATAACTAATCCCAAAAGCAAAATGTACATGCGCCTCATCAGCCGTGCTTCAGCTGATTCTGCTAAAGAGACGTGTGCTGTAATGATCCCAGGTCGAGCTCCAGCTTTGGTCAGTGATTTATTTTATTAGTCTGTTACTTAGCAATAACTAGCAGGTGGCTGCTAACCAAGCTAGCTAACATTAGCTGGTATCTTAGCACACTACACTGTCATCCAAATAAAACAATACTGTGGTGGCCATAACACCCAAGGTGTGTTTGCTCTGTATGATGTCGTACCGTCCAGCAGGTACTCGGCACACAGGTGGATGTTGATGCTGCTGTGGAGGCCCGAGATGAGTCTGTAGAAAACTCTCTTCTCCAAACATAAACCTGGAGAGACAGTGATGACAACGGGTTTCTTAAAAATCAGAATCCAACCAAGCTCAGCTTAAAGCTTCAGTCCACCCAAAACTGTATAACACTGGGGGACGAGATGTCTGATTTATAGTCCTGCCTTAAACATCAACCAGAACTACAGTAGAACTCTGGACCCGGCGCCACACTACAGGCAGACTTATCCCACAGATGTAACTGTGTGATGAAAACCTCAAAATCTGTAATAAATGTGTTTGGTAGTGTTGGGACATCAGCTCTACTTGTGACGGTGCAGAGATCCAGACGACCCAGCAGCTACTGAGCACAGGACTTTAAATAAGGGACATGGACGTGATATGAGAGGCCAGCTTTCATCACAGAGAGGGGGTGGGCTACAACAACTTTAACGGCGTGGAACATCACATCCACAGGAGTGCCTGAAGCAGCATTTCATCACAGCACCATGAGGCGTCCAGCATCTACGCATCAGGCTGTGATGAGCCACAGCTCTGTGTTCTGTGGCCTCCTGTCAGCAGTCAGCCTGCCCACACAAAGTCTTCCAGAGGAAGCAGAGACGAGACCAGTTCAGCTTCAGAACACAGACGCTGAAAACCACAGGAAGTGACATGCCTACTGTAGCTACACAGACGCTTCAGCTTTATGTGATTTACATGACAAAGAATGATAACAGCCTTCTTCAGGTCAGTCTGGGTGGTGCAGGCGTGAGCACACGAGGCAGAACCCACCTTCAAGCCAGGTGTAGAAACCTTCCCCTGCAACACGAGCGACACGGACAAGAAGAGTTAGGTTTCAACACGGCTGAAACACATCCAAGTCAACAGAAGTTTAGTTTACTCACCATCATCGTCTCCTGAACACAGAAACAGAAGGAAGGAAACTGTTAGATCGGTGCAGTGATTAGGCATACACATACCACACACTAACTAACCTCTGAACGTATGAGCTCTAGTTTCACACACAGACATCTAAGGTGCACGAAAAATACACTGAAGAGCCTGCGTTTTAATCCAGCTCTTTATTCAGTACCCTGTGACGCAGTATGCAATAAACAGGAGGAGGCTAGCATGCTGAAGCAGGTACACTGATGTGTGAACAGTTAGAAGAGCAACATGACAGGAAGCTCTCAGAAATACTTCAGTTAGGTCGTTTATACCTGACTACTGTCTGCATGTTTGAGAGCCCAGGAAACAGCTCGTGAGGTGCTGTTTACGTGTTTGCTGTAGAAGCAACCCGCTGCTCGCCTCCTGATGTCTGACTACAGGCCGGTCTTTCTGGAAACGGTGACCGGTGTGGAAGAACCGGAATGGCCTGTGCAGGCACTCGGCTCCCTGACAGCACACCTTCATTCAGGTGGCAGACTGTGTGCTGGCAGCATGACATCACTTCAGTCTGCTATGAGCACAACTGACAGCATCCAAACAGGGACACAACTACTGCAGCCGCGTCCGCTGCAGCCGCGTCTGGAATGGCACAGGCCATTCCGGTTCTTCCACACCGGTCACCGTTTCCAGAAAGACCGGCCTGTAGTCAGACATCAGGAGGCGAGCAGCGGGTTGCTTCTACAGCAAACACGTAAACAGCACCTCACGAGCTGTTTCCTGGGCTCTCAAACATGCAGACAGTAGTCAGGTATAAACGACCTAACTGAAGTATTTCTGAGAGCTTCCTGTCATGTTGCTCTTCTAACTGTTCAGCCGCGTCTGCCGGTAGCAGCTCTAACTTTGATCCTCACCTCTGCTGGGAGCCAGAGGGTTCAGAGGTCGATACACCGACCGGGGCCTGTGGACACAAAAACACATTTTCAGTAGGACCTCAAAGATGAGCATCTCTGTGCAGGGAGCTCCAGGCTTACTTGAAGCAGTTCTCCTCGTAGATGCTGTTCCACACTCTCCAGGCTGACGGACCCTTATATCCGGTGTATCGCTCTGGATTCAGGAGCAGATCCACATACTCGGCATCTGGAGACGTCTCATCTGAAACACATTTCATAGATTAAAGAAAGCCTGTGATGGCAGTGGCTCGGGGTCATCATTAGAGATATTTCCTTCTTAGCAGTGGGGCTACAAATGTGCCGTTTAACTGAGTACAGGAAAGTTCATGTAAAGAGCTGGAATAAGGACACATCGTGCCTGTTACAGGTTTGTACTTTGGGTTTTGGTAAATGAGGAATTTGCCCTGGGTGTGAAGTTTGATGCCTCATAGTGCTGCCCTCACAGATACACAGAGAAAGAGATGCTCACCGTCCAGCTCACAGAAGTGATCCTGAGCGTCGTCGTGTCTCGCCCAGTCAGCGAACGCCTCCTTACTCTGGTTACTGGAACCGGAAAAAATACACACACATTCTAACTGTGAGCTTTACTCGACAGCTAACAAGACATGAAGACCAAACAGGAGATCACAGTCTGATCACAACGTCCACGTAAATGTTCATTTTCAAACTTTTCTTAAACGTCGTCTCCCATCACTTCATTCTTAATGAAGGATGTCTGTTGACTTTAAACAGTTTCCAGTAAAGGTCACGTGAGTCTGAAACCAGCATCACCCTGCAAAAGCTGCAGGGATGTTTCCCTTACTGCACATGCAAACTCCACATGCACTTAAGTGTGCGTCTGTGGAGTCGCTGTCAGTTTATTACACGTGCCTTTGCTTAAGCCCAGTCTCATCTGCACCTCTGTGTGTGAGGAGGTGCACAACTGGACACTGGGAGCAGAGACAGGGGAGAAACCAGTGCAGCCAGAACTGATGGCTCAGATCTGTGATGAGCTCAAGCCCATTTCAAATTCCAGGTAAACACAACGAGGTTAAACTAAATGAAAGGAAGTAAGAGAAGCTCAACTTCTCTAAACACTACATGGGTGAGATATTCTGCTAAGAGATGAGACTGGGAGATCACATGGAGGGTTACAAGACGAGCATAAAGTCGCTAAACCAGACGTCTAATAACTGATCCGGATCGAAGGATTCTTTCAATTCCAGAGGTTGACAGCCGCCCTGTGAAAACTGACTCAGGATCAGAATTTCAGCTCTGACGTGTCATCTAAGCTCACTGCATTGTGCTGCGTGGGCAGGGACGACATGAAGGCGCAGACTGCCGTGCACACACGCAGCACAAACTGTAAATGACGTCACAGCGGCGCTGCTGTTGGAGGAGAGGAAGTGCCAACCAGAACAAAGAAATCATGGAGTGGTTCTTCTTTACCGACGTGTCATTAACACGGAGCAGCGTTCAGTCATGTGGTCACTGCGTCACGCGAGGTTAGACGGTCTGAGAGGTGCACATCTGGCCACATCAGCGGATGTGATGTGAGTTTTCATCAGGAGATGCTGCCTCTTTATTTGTTACATTTCAAACCCACGTGACTAAAGCGGCTTGGTGTTTGTAATGCACCGTCACATCCTGTCTGTTTGCACCAGCCGGTCCGCTGCTTCACAAAGGAACCTCCACGGTTCCTGCAGGAGAGAGCCCCGGTGGGCTCGGTCTGCACTTTGAAGTGTCGCCTGGTGGAAAACTACCAGCAGCTGCCGGTCACACACTGGTAAATGTTTGAGCTGCTGAGGCCCGGTGAAAACAAGCTGCAGATAAAGACAGAGCAGGAGGTCTGTGGACTCACCTCAGGGTGCTGTTGATGGCCCCCAGCTCCTTGGCCTGCTGGCACTCCACCACGTCCGACATCGTATTGGCCGCCTGCGAGTACTGGACACAGGACGGATTCTTAATAACACCGTTTATCACAGTAATGACACCACTCACATCATCTTTACTTCACTGGGCTCGATGAAAGTGTTCCAGCCTGTAATTATGTAAAATGCTAAATGGCCTGTGTTTGTAAAGCGCTTTACACAACCTGCCCCACACACACACACACACTGGTGATGGCAGCTACATTGTAGCCACAGCCACCCTGGGG